TTTCATATGGCTTAGTGATTGAATATCCCACAGTTTCTGGTCCCCATGGTATAGCAAAGTTCTGATATGCATAGTGACATCACATTTTGGGGCCTATTATCAACATGAATTAGGATAGGTTTTGCACATTTATCTCGGGGGAGGAAAAGCCGATAACACTGCTTAATCATATTACGAACCACAGACTCTCGTCTGGTTATCAGTCTATGTAGAGCAGTGGTACGCGAGCAGATTTGAATTATTGCAATAATTAACCTTTCAGTTGACTAAAATATGCCGGCAACGCTTTATATTTCTTACTGTATGTATTCGCTGAACAGCGTTTATGGATGTTTCCCCAAGCATCAGTTTCCTTATTTATTTTTGTAACTATAACCAATCAGCAATAAGTCAATAATGACGCAACACGTAAAAATTGCAATTTCTGCACCCAGCCGCTCAGACGGTTCCATTACATTTGAACCCATGACAATTGCATTTTTTTTGTTTTACGGATATTTGAACCCATACTCACCTTAACCCATGGGTTTTAGCACCCGCATATAGATTGAACCCGCGGATATACGCATGGGTTTGAATGTACGTGGGTTCTAATGTACGGTCACCGCTCACCTTGTCCATCGCAGCTTTTGCAAGATTCAATTTTGGATACTGCAACTGAAGTAAAGCTCCGCGGAAGACATAATGATAATTGAGTAAAATAATACACAACTATTTTTCTGAAACACTGAAAACTGACAAATATCACTCAAAATTACAAAAACAAGGCAATGTTTGCAACCATGCTTGAATATCTGTTTGAGCGATATTTGTCAGTTTTCAGTTGTGTTTCAGAAAAATAGTTGTGTATTGTTTAACTCAATTATCATTGTCTTCCGCGATGCTTTACTTCAGTTGCAGTATCCGAAATTGAATCTCGCAAATGCTGCGATGGACAAGGCTAAACTTAGCTATATCAGTACATGCAAACAGCACATGGTTGATGAATTTTAATAAAAATGATGGTTTCAAACACGGAAACCAGTTTATATGCGCCAACACACCAAAACACTCTCAGAATAAGCATAGAGTTTGCAAAGCGATATGCGCATGTTTTTGTTCGTTTTGCGTGTTACGCCACAAATGATGTAGTGCCACATTATAAAATACACCCATAGCACGTTTCTTGTGTCTTTTTCCTCACGCCAAAAAAGGAGTTTTGTCGGTGGTACACGGCCACAGTAAAAAACAGGAAAGTGGTACGCGGTCAGTATAAGGTTGAGAACCACTGATGTAAAGTATGGGGTTAGTTAGTCAATATTTTCAATTGTATGAACTTGATGGTGGAGGAAGCCATAAATGACCAGCGGTTATGCAGTTACGTGAAACACCCTACAGCGCCGAAGAGTCCAGCAATCCTCTCACACATAAATATCCCCCACAGGATTCGAACCTGCAAACCTACAGGGTTATCAAAGGGGTGGTACCAAGTGTATTCATATCGCTTAGCCCGATGCACCACACAACCGAGCCTGTAACTGTCTATTACATCGTGTAGGAGATGATTGAAAACATACATATGAATACTTTGAAAAATCATTATAGAAAGTTGAGAATAAATATTACTCAAATCTCACCATTTGCTGATTGTTCTGATTTCCTCTTTCCGGTAGATGCAGATTCCCAATATTTGCTCCAGCAAAGTTGATAGGTGGAGGTCCTCTGCGTTCTATAAATATAAGTATAAAAAGCTTTTAAAAGGTGTTAAAATGTTTTAAGTAGCATTTCATCTTAACGTCTGTTAATTTTCCGTTATTTTTTTAACACCTAGTAGTTCTAACTAAGTTGTTATCAGGCCGGTGTGATGAACTGGTCGTAAAGTGTTTGACTTAACTGTGTTGACATCGCAGATTATTATGTATCGGATTCAAATCTCATGATCATCACCTGGGGTCTGATGAATTGGGTGGGCAATGGGTACTGAATATGCAGATAACCGCACACACGCATAAAAACTACCATCGCTGCCAATAAGCAGCCAATAAAATGGACTCAAAATTTGTATTTTTTATGTTTCATTAAAGTTGTTAATTTGATTAAGTAATTGTATTCTAAGTAAATGTTTCATCATTAGTTTTAGATTTATTCATATTATACAATTCAAATATGAGGTCCAATTTTTTAGTTGTAAGTGTTGAAAAGTCCTAGAGAAACTTTGCCAAGTAATCATGTATTATCTAAACAGCAAAAATAAATATTCTCAAACCAAAAATGTTACATGACTGCTCAAACTTTGGTATCTAATTTACAATTTCCTCCAAAAGTAATTCTTTGCTCGCTTGGAATTTAAAAAAATTAGACATTCTGATGCCACTTGCGAATAAAATTCATCATACTACTTTTAAAATGAGACAATATATTTGCATACTGCAGAAGGTATTGTAGCATCCTTTGTCAGCAAGACACACAATATTCGGCGCGTAATTTTCAAACCTTGGCAGTGGTAAAACTCATTTTTGTTACTTAAAAATATGCCGTATAGAAATACTCAAATAGACTCAAATACTGTATGTGTATATTATATTTTTTGTGGTATGTTATTAAATTCACCCAGTTGGCCCACCCATTCACCCATTAAATTTAACCAATATCAGATGATATCGACTACTCGGGACGCGGCGATCAACGAGTTGACCAGCTTTGCTATAGAGCAGTGGTTCCCAAACTTTTTGAAAAAAATTCCACGACGTACCCCTCGCAATTTTTTAACGATTCTCGGTCTTGTGCACCAAAACATTAAAAGATCACAACAAAAAAATCAACGCGCCGTATAGTGAACCGAACAAAAGAATATGAAGCGCAACTCTAATGTGAGTGTGACATCCAGTCTGTTTCGATATTTGGTAAAAGGGCAGCGTTAGCTACAGCACTGCAGTTAGTATACCTGTGGTGGCATGAATTGAACTCTTTCTGTGATATCACAGGCCCACAGCTCTGTGACATTACAATGGGGCAGCGTGATCGAAACAGAAAGTGAAGAATCAGTGTCTCTAGCGGTGATTGCAAAAGGCGATAAATGTGTATTTGTTTAGGCACTCAATTTTTGTATTATCAAGCTAATAGCCATATTACAGATTTGTTTAGCGGACCCTCCAAAAGTGCTTCACGGTCCCCAATAGGTCAGCAGACCCCAGTTTGGGAACCACTGCTATAGAGTGATTGCTGTAAATCCCAATAGTCGCGATTTAGTGCATACTGTAATTACTTACTTGGTTTGCTTTAATTTCAATATCATGCCGTCGTCCAGGGGTAAACTTCATTAAAGAAGGGCCAGATACAAGTAACTGGGTAAGGCTGCAGGCCGTGCCTTTGCTACATTTTCTCAGCCGTGTGTAATTTGCAACAGAATTCTGCTAGCTAGTGTTGCTAATATGGCAGTGGCACCCAGATACTGGTACAGTATAGGCTTTGAGGCGCAAAGAGATTGGAATGCCCGCACGTACCAGATAAACGAAACTAAAAACTCGTTTCGTGGGCCACGGGCCACAATTTGCACACCCCTGTGCTAGTCGATTAAGATATAATCCATGACAAAACTGGAATAAATTGTTACAATGGGTTGGGCAGTCTATCGTCACCACAATATGATTCTGACTGCCAGTGGTTGCTCTTATGTATACTCGTATGTGTATTATTTACAGAAGTCCATGACAAAAAAAAATAAAATCTACATAATCCTGGAAATATACCTTTTATAACATTCTTTGACTGCGTTTTGATGCCAGAGTTTCCCCATTCATCCTTGGCCCAGACTTGGAAACGATATGTTTTACCAAGTGTAGGTGACTTCATTCTATACTGAGGAACTTCTGCAGTGTGAGTCTCTCCAAGTTTCACATCGTCGCAGAAGATTTCTATGTTGTATAGAACGTTTCTGTCAGATACTGCATTCCAAATCAAAAGAATGTCGGATCCACTTCTTTGAGATGAAACATTTTCAATTTGCGGCAAAGCTAGAAATAAAGTAGTGAGTTAGTAAATATAGTAATCAGTAATTTATTTCTTCAACATGCTGAAAGTACAAACTATACATACACAAATTAAAGGAAATATGGCGATGGCGATACGACCAGTGGTGGGATTCAATTTTTTTGTCAGCCGGTTCCATCACAAAAGTCATATTTTTCACACGGTTCTGTTACAAAAAGTCATTGAGAGTAACCAGTGATGCTAACCGGTTCGCTGTTCTAATGAAATTTCGTGAGACGGTTCTATAGAACCGGTGCGAACCAGCTGAACCCCACTACTGGATACGACCAAAGGTCATCAGAGTCAGCCACCACCCATTCCAGATAAATAATTATTGAGAAAAAAAATATACAGTAACCGTCGACTAGTTATCTACCAAATATTTAAACGAAGTATACTCTCAATACAGATAATAATAGGTACCAGAAAAAATAAGTGAATTGTAGAAAATTATTTAAAATTAGTTTGAAAATTGAAAGATAATAAGCAAACAGTGGCAATGTGACCATTATATGATGGACAGTTACATGTTTTAATCATTATTGAATATTATAACTATACTCTAGTAATCCTTAACAAGAAAATTTAGGTAACTTTTTTTATATTTCACATAGGAAGCCAATCTAATAGATTCAGGAATTTGATTCCAAATTTTTTAGACCAGTGCACTTGATTGATTCTTGGGAGAATTTGGTGTCAGCTCTTGGAATAAAATATGAATTTTATAAAGAGGATCGTGTATTATACGAATATTGGCTACTACAATCGGTGAAATATGACGCAAACGATTCAAGTAAACTCGCTGAGGAAAATTTATGCATGATTTTCCCTATTTCATAGTGAAATAAGTCATTCAGTTTCAAAATAGTGGACTAAGTCTAGTTCGCAACGGCACATTTGATATTGTCCTGACAGCGCGGTTTTGATGCTGAACCCCATAAGACAATACCATTTTGAATGGAAGAATGAAAAATTGCAAAATGAACAGTTCGTAAAACACTCAATGGCACATAATTTTTGAGCCTGATTAAAATACCAACAGCCCTTGACAGTCTATGCACAAACATGGATTCGGGTATCGGGTTCCTCATGTTTACTTTCTTTCAAAGACTGGCCACTACGAGACTAGTATAAGTTTATTTCGACTCAATAATCAGCATAGGCTTATTACAGCTATTAGACGATGATTGAATATGGTAAAATGCATATCTTCCCGGACTTCCCAGATAGCAAGGTCTGTTCAACTGTTTGTCACCAGTTGGGAGAAAAATTTATCGCCGAAGTAAGGCCGAGATCGCTATGGCGACCAATTTCGTCCCTGTTCTGCAGAACAATTTCAGAAAGCATGTGAAATAGAACACAGTTTGAGAAACGCTGCACTAAAGTATTTGAAACAATTGATTGTAATATATGTCAGTGGTTCCCAAATGACTAGTTTTCCACAAGACTATTGCATCGTTCAATTTAAACTCATTTAAATGAAAAATATTTGTTTTAAAAAATGAAATAAATTAACAAAATTAACATTGAGAGAGGGAAGACTATGTTAAAATTTTAGCTGCGTTATAATAATATAGAATTTAATATTTATAATACAGTCACACAATCATAAATTGCATTAATGCAATGCGTGGGGATTTGTAATACAGAATTATAAAAACTGTTAAAATTAACGTTGAAAGAGGGAAATACAAGTTTCAATATCGGAAAAAATACCCTGATTTAAATTAAACAGATAATCCGATGCATTACAGGAAGTAAGTTAAATTTGAAAACCTATGGACTTATTCTTTCTTTTTCAAAGAATCTTTTTTCTTCTCAGGGGATTTTTCCTCCCCGGCTTTTTTCTGAGGGGATTTTTCCTCCTCAGCTCCCCCATACGCAGAATAATCTATCACACAACTTGTGATAATTCTCTCAATTCGATGGAACGGATCAAAGTTGACGCCAAACTTGGAAGAAGCCTGAAATAACGAGAATTTATTAATTTCTTATATGTAGAGTTGGTCTAAACGTGTCATAGGACTTGAAATGCCTGCTATATAACCTCTGATTGACCTGCATGAGTTCATAGGTTCGAATCCTGCAGGGAATTCCAAGGCCAGGGCTATAAATAAGTTTGTAATTTTTTGTTTAATGGGAGGGGGTAAATTGACATGGCATGGGACCCTGTGTACAAATACAAGGCAAGAATTTGTTTCAGTGACATGCCCAGGTAATGTGTTACCAGATATTCGAATAGTAAACTGCAGCTCTAATATTTTAGTATCAATACGATATTCAAATATTTCGCCTGCTCTACTTAGTATTTTTGGATTTGATTCATTATGTAAATAAATATATATATATTCACTTGGCTAACACAAACAGTCCCCGAACTCATAATAGAACTAAAATAAGGAAATCAAATTACGGCCTAACCCTTAACCTGGTACACATTACGGAAGTATCCAATTGGCCTGGCCGTACTAGAACGCAAAAAGGTAAAAACACAAAGTGTTAATCTATTTCACTCAAGTTCATCAAGCCATATTAAATCATGAGCTAATTGCCTATAATCTATTATATCTTACCGATATCAGGAACATCACAGTTAGTTGTAGAAGAACAACAGTGTTGAATGAGATCGGCAGCATTCCTAGATGTTGTAAATTGTAAAATAGTGAGAACAGAAGACTGAGCTTTGTTACTCTGAAAAAAAAATAGGATATTATGGTAAATTGCCCGTAACTAAATTCAAAATTGTAAGAACGGGTTCTCTTTTGTGTCAAACTGGTTCCCTCATCTTAGAAAACCATTTCACGTTCCCAAAGAGCGATTCAGAATTCTAGAATGGGTTCCCTTATGTATCAAGCTCACTAACAACGGGTTCTTTCATTTTAGAAAATATATGAATGTCACTATCAGCTGGAGTCAAAGCCATGGAGCAAAGCCTACCGGGTTTAATGGAGCCAGAGTTACCACAAATTTTAGTAGCGCTAGCTTATAACATCTTATTAACTTTTATTAATTTTAGTGATATTTAGAAATTGGAGTCAAAACATTGAATTTTGTTTCATGGTGAAATCTATATTTAAACTCTTTTGGAATTGTAAACTTGATTGTCTGTCTGCTCTAAAGACTTCAAAATCTTTACTCCTGCTCAAATGTGCCAGAAGTTTGCAATAAATTGAAACTCCACAGCCCAGTCACTAACTACCGTAATAATTACCGTAATTTTTATGTCTCGATTTGTAACAAATCAATACTCACGTCGCCAAATGAATAGATTTCACGGTCTCATGATTCCATTGTTTCCTCACAAACGTTGAAGCATTTTTGACGAACCCCCCTCCGCAGGCTCCAAACATTCCAAGAATAGTACAGATCAAGAGAGAGTCAGGGAAAGCTCCACGACCAAGTTTCACTCCTAAATTATGAAAATAATTGTTTGAAATCACAAGAGAGTACAATTCTAATAATTGCACATATGTGGAGATGAGCACAGCAAAATAAAGTGTTGTCGTGTGAGAATCGTAGTGGAACAAAATTATTTTCTGAAGTGAACAATACCTTCAGAAATACCTGAATTACAAAAACGTTGTTCGGAATAACAATAGAGCAACGCTTTGCATTCATACCAGCATGCAGCACATGTATCAATGCTCAATATATATGCTGGCCTTAACTGAGAACCGAGAATACGGAAGAAAAACAAGCACAGTGGAACACAGCGTATTTCTGTGTGTCATGAAATAAAGTTCTTACAAATTAAATTTGTCCTGAAATCTGAAACAAATGACTGGCTAACTTACACCATACCCAACACAGACTTGTAACTGAAGTAGAGGCGAAGGTACGTCATATTATTAAGCTGTCTTATCAACATTCCTTTCCCCTGATATAAATATGAAAATCATTCCTAAACGGCTGGAATTGCGAAGTTTGATGCGAATTTTTCACAAACATCAAATATCAGAAAGTGTAAACATATAAAGTGTAAATATATAGCATACCTTTTATAATTTTTCTTGTTCGAATCATTTCTTTTCCCAGAACAATCACTAACATCGCTGGTTTCCATGACAATAAATTATAAATGACATCTTTGGGAGAGTAGAAGATGTGCCACCATACTATTGTCATCATGAGAACTGACTGAAATTAAAAATTAATATTTATTTATATGTCCAGGCTATCATATGCTATGTTGACACCAATACCTGTCGATACGTAAAGAGCTACTATTTTACGAATGATTAAAATCTTCCTGGTTTAGCACAGCCTACTCCAGCGTTTCTCAAACTCTGTTCCGCAGAACACTACCGTTCTGCAAGGTTAGAACAGAGGTTGAAATTACGACCAAATTGGTTGCCATAGCGATCTTGGCTGTAAAGACTCTGGATCGTGAATTCGACCGCCTGAAGGCCTCGTACCAGTTTGGAAAGCATAGCATATGCTTTTTTACTCAGATTAACTATTCAGGGATATGCAGCTTTCAATACAAGGGGTACAAATAAGTGGGTGAAACCGCAGGCCACACCATTATTCTAACGGAGGTTTCTAGTAGACACAAAAATATTGGTTATTGATCTTATGACATGCGTTGTTCGCACAACCTAGCTGTTAGGGCATTGTAAGGTCATAGGTAATAAATTGGACTCGGGTATAGACTTTGCAATGCAAATGGATCGGAATTACTCTCACATACTAGATTAAACAACTATAAAAGTGCAGGCCGCATTATTTTTCCTTGTGGGCCGCATTTGGCCACAGACCGCAGATTGCACACCCCTGAGCTTAACAATAAAACAAATCCATACCTGATTATTGGATAGAGGAGTCAGAGCAGGTTTTCCTACACAAACACTTATGATCATCCCTCCACCGTAGCAACAAGCTATCGACATCAACCATGTAGCAACTGGCTGTTTCCTTGCCTTGTTGACATCTGAATTTAAAATAATTTTTTTAAAGGGCTCTGTGATTGAAACTTGGGGGCTTTCCGAGCTATTCACTTACTTATTAAAATACTGAATTGGCTCATTTTGTGACTGTCCAAAAAGCTATAACGTCATCAATAAAATATTACAAGCGGAGTCATTAAATGAGGTAATTTTAATTTATTCAGAAACAATAATTGGCAAATAACACTTGTGTTTTTATTTTTTGAAGCTAATTGTGGGGCTCTGTACTAACTAGTCAACTACTTCCCAGGTTCCATAACACTACAAGTTTGAGAACCCCTACACTAGAGTATATCTCAGTTAAAAAGCATGCAATAGATTCATTTGGGATTCTATGTTCTACCCAAAGTATAATTATTTAGGAGGTATCAACTACTGATAGAGAATAGGCCTTTAGAAAGCATCAAGACATCCTTCTGAGTCTGCGGGTCGGAACCAGTAGTGGGATTCAACCGGTTCGCACCGGTTCTATAGAACCGTCTCACGGAATTTTATGAGATCTGCGGACCGGTTGACATTACTGAAAAAAACATGACTTTTTGTAACAGAACTGGCTGAAAAATATGATATTTGTGTGATGGAACCGGCTGACAAAAAATTGGAATCCCGCCACTGGTCGAAACCACATTTTTTGAAACGTAAAAAACTGTCTATATATGATCAACTCACCCCAGTCATTCCGTACTCCGTAAATTACCAGAGTATAATGAGCAATCTCTATGATTGTTGCCAGATATACTATCAAGTTATTTGTTGCGTCTGCTATAGATGAAACATCCATTATGATATACTGAGAAACAATGAAAAATGGAAAATTAGAAATGGGTGTAGTATAATTCAGTATGAATATACAGTATCTAGATTTGAAAAAAATTACCATATACCGTATATATATACGTGCCGGCAGCGGCGCAGCTAGCAAAAGGGGGAAGATGTTTGATTTGAAAATTTTATCTTTTACTTGCAAAGAGAGGCAAGCTACACGCAACTATGAAATTTATTAAACAGCATTTCGCTATGAAAGCCACAGCTCGACAGCCGGTGTCGTGAATTGCAGTTTGTTTGAATTTCAAATATCCCTATATTATCTCAGAAACGTGAAATAACGAGTATATAAAAACCAATGACAACACACTGAAGTAAAACCTTGAAATTCAAAAATTTCCTAAACCTTCCAGGGTTCCACTAAGGCTCAAAATATTACACGTAGACTATTTCTGTACTGCAGATATGTGCAAACTTTTGAACTGTCTTTCTACCATCCTCCCAGAAGTAACTACTAAAGAAGCTTCTTATTCTACCAACTTTAACCGCCTTTAATAAACAGAGTATACAGGTATAGCAAATAAAACTGGCCAACGCAAGGTCGCGCTTTAAACCGGCGAAGTCAGCTGCGAATGCAGCTGCACTCAGAACAGCTGAGCTGTTGATAATAGGCGGGGTCAAGTTGTGTGCAGCGGAGCGTTACGGACAAGTCCCACTGAACATGGACTTTTCCCCGAGCATCGACTACCTTGTTTACTTCGTGACATTGGCCAATCAGCAAGATGCACAAACTGACGTAACAATGCCCCCATTTCGCATCCGCTCAGACACTTTTCTCACTCGGACAGATTTTCAAGCGTGGTTGTAAACACTACCTCGTTTTTGCGTTTTTAAACTCTATTCGTTAGTTTTCAGTTGTGTTTCGGAATCTTAAATATAAATCAGATATTTTAATGGTCACTCTGTCTTTCTAGGAGTTTTAATTTAATTGCAGTAAAAAAAATAAGTGTAGAAATTGCTGTGATAGACTAGCCTGAAATTCTTTACCAGTATTTTTAAAAACAGATCGTTGTATGCGATGAATCATAATGATGGTTTGAAACACATACCCCATTTTACGGGCGCCAACACACAAAAGCACTCTTAGGATAGGATAGGATTTACATATTTATCCCGGGGGAGAAGAAAGCCGATAAGACGGCTTATCTATATGGCGAACCACGGCCTCTCGTCCGGTTACCATTCCAAGTCGGGTATGGGATTAGTTATATTGTTTGTTTTCGGAAGCATGGACTTGGTGGTGGAGGAAGCCGTAACCGACCAGCGGTTACGTGAACCACCCAACGACGGCGAGGAGTCCAGCAATCTTCCTTAATCCTCTTAAAATACCCTCGAGAATATTGCAATGGTAAAGTATAGTAAGAATATTCCGGGGTCAAAGGTCGGGGAAAGGTGCATAACTCTCAATCAACCAATCAATTTTATTTTAATCACTCTGATAGGAACAAAACAACAACAAACGGACAAACAAAACACAGACGATCTGGAGGACGGGCATAACTTAATAAAAAAGTTATAAACGTACAAGTACGAGCCCGTCCACTAAAAACAGTCAAAAGAACACAATAAAACAAAGAAACGATGTAAAATCGGGCAATTACAGTACCTTAGGATAGAATTTACATATTTATCCTGGGGAGAGGAAACCCGATAAGACGACTTAATCATATGGCGAACCTTGGCCTCTCGTCCAGTTACCAGTCCAGGTTGGTATGGGATTAGTTAGTTATTTGTTTTCGGAAGCATGGGCTTGCTGGTGGAGGAAGCCGTAACCGACCAGCGGTTACGTGAACCACCCTACGGTGGCGAGGAGTCCAGCAATCCTCTCGCACATGATTATCCCTGCATGCGATGCGAACCTACGAAGAGTAATCAGAGATGAGGTGGCGAGCTATTCCTAACGCTTAGCACGATGCGCCACACCGCTAAGCCTTTCAAATGAATTTTAAAATGTGAGACGTGTATTTGTATCATAACGGTGCTTTTCCTGCAAAAATATGGAATAAAAAACACTCGTTGACGTATTATGGTGATGATGTATTTCAATTTCATTGCAAAAATAACAGTGACAAAAAATTGTTACTGAAAAAAACAAGCCCTGTAAATAGATTGAATGTTTCATAACAGTCTATGCACAAACATGGATTAGGGTATCGGTTCTTCTGTTTACTTTCTTTCAAAGTCTGGCTACTACAGGACTAGTATAAGTTTATTTCGACTCAATAATCAGCATAGGCCTATACAGGTATAAGACAATGGAATAATTGAATATGGTACTGTGTCGTATGCGGGTGCTCTGTAACGTCTGAGAAACAACCTGACCGATCTTTCCATGAGTTTCCAAGGATCCAAAGCTTCGGAATAACGCAGAATTAAAAGGAAATTCAATTCATAAACGTTTTTGACTGAAGACCTGTTAGATTATGCAGGCCAAAGTGTTATGTTGATCATTTCATTTTGTATCATAAAGTTATGAGCTCTTTATTGAAATATTTCACTTTTACAATAATTAAAATAACATATCAAGCAAAAGTTAGGCATTTAAATACAGGAATCACTGAGAATTTCAAACATGAATTATCATCATCAGTTACCGGTACTACTCACTCTATACCAGGGTGGTCCAAACCAAGGCCCACGGGCCACATGTGGCCCACAGCTTCATGATCTGTGGCCCGCGTCACATTCGGAAAGTAGTCAAAAAATCGCATTTGGTGTTGTTTTCATATAAAATTAACCAGAAAATTTTTTGGACATATTGTTACATCACTAATGTCGCTGAATTGATTAGTGTTATAATCGGCTGAGGCAACTAGCGAAGTTGAATGATGTGCTTGGCAGTCTAAATTTTTTTTTAATCTTCTTGGTCAGAAATATATGCTAACAATTTTGGCATTATAATAAACTAAAAATCGATTGCGAATTTTATTAGCCTAGGTTGGCTATGCCTAATAACTAAATATCAACGTTAGGGCCCAACAATATAATTCATGCCGTGTGTTTTTTGCAACCACCCTAAACAGTATTAGAAAAAATGCTGCCTATTTGTCAGAAAATTCAGTATTTACCCTCCTGTTAGCTTACATTCGGTAATTAATGAATCTGCAGTTATTGGACACGTAGTGGACATAACGATCGTTTCAATATTATGTTGTTGTTGTTCTTGTTCTTGTTCTTGTTGTTCTTTGACACGTTTTTAAAAAGTCGCTTTTCTCTTCGAATACTGGACCAATTGCTTTGAAATTTTTAGTGGTTAAAGATAAAAATTTTCTCCAGAAGGCTATTACTTTTTTTTTTGCTATGACGTCATCAAAATTATGTGACTCTACGTGTCCATATATTTGAGCATAGCTCTCTTGTTTATAAGTTATTTCGTAAACATGAGTTTGAAAAGAAAGCTGAAGAAGGCCTTTGCAGATTTTAGTAAGTTTTAACATGTTTTAGCTTGATAAATGCCAAATAGTGATCAATGTGTTTGCATGATAAAATGTTTAATTTGTAATGCACTGTTTACCTATATTCTTGGCATTATTGTGGCCCGCGAACAATGCAAAAATAATTTTGTGGCTCCCGGAGCCGGCAACCTTGGACCACCCTGCTCTATACAGTACAAACAAAGAGACTGATTTGAAAAGCAGATTTGTATGAAAATAACCACTTATAATGGGTGTTTCATCCACAATGCCATACTCAAAAATCCCGATCGAAAGACAAATATTAGAAACAATAATGACTCGACTAGGCTGTAAGCGATCAAAAATAATTTATTTTTCAGCCAAAGATTACTTTCAATAATCATCTGTAGCATCAGATTTGAGACATTGCACATAAACTGCAAATTTTGCTTCATAAAATTATCCATCTAAGAAAGTTGTTCCCAAAGTTACCACGCCTACGGACCCCTTATACCTCTCTGGGGCAATTGCGGACCCCCATAATTTCAAACGTAAAACACAATACAGAACATAGCATATAGCTATTTGGAAAACATTCGCATCAGCTGCCACTCCTCAAATTGCAACACAAATTGTGTTACTGATTTATTGCAACTAAATGATGCCTATTAACCTTAGTGTGATCGCTGAAATGCGGTCATGGAACAAAGACATGATGCAAATATTTTATTTTAATGACGTCATCACACAGAAAAGATAAATACGAATTTCATAGAGAACACATAAATTTTTGAACAATCTTTAGCCGTAGAAATTTTTTTAGCAATTGATCCTGTAGTTAAAGAAGAATATTAAGAGATCCATAAGGCCCTTTCGTGTCCAATAAGTAAAGTGAAATTCAAAGAACTAAATGACACAACAGCGCCAAGAACAACGTTAGTCTATGACGCCAAAACTAACAGCTGTTCAGCCACACCCACCCTACCCAATTATCCCTCGCAGACCCTAGTTTGAGATCTGAGAGAAATATAAACATAATATGACATTGGTTAATATCGGAAACCCTTTGATTCAATATAGTTTAATAATGAAGTAATTCAATAAAATAAAAACAAGAATTATTTTTGTTCAGCAAAAGAATTAAAACGAAAGCTAATAGGCTACTCCATGAGCTCTGCCTGTGAGTACTTTAAGTCTCACACCAATCAGTATTCACTGGCATGTAATTTTACACTAGCATTTTTCATTGTCTCAGTGAGTTTTGGGGCTTCGATGGACCTTCATATTTCCACTCATATATCAGCCTCCTCAATTTCTGAGCTACTCAGGAATTTTTTTTGTTATTTTTCAATTTTTTTTTATATTACAAAATTTAGGGAATACATGAAAATATTTATTTTTTCATTTTTACTACTTTTTTTTATTTTTTTTTCGATATTTTTTACTTTTTTGAAACATTAAAATTTTTTTTTACGTTTTGAAACTTTTTAAAACACACGAAGTTATAGAGAAAACCTATATACATTAAGAGGGATTGAGGATTGGATAAGTTGAATTATTTATCCAATTGTTATTTCATTCCAATACAGCAAGATTATGTA